CGAAGCATAGTTATCTATTTAGTTAACAATTAGCTTTCTGATCTAGAGGAGCATAGCGACTTCGAATAAGAAGCATAGCAGAGCATTAGTTATCTGTTTAGTTGTCGATTATAAAACTGCATAACGTAATAGCCTTTAGCATGTTTTTTACATGTTCCAGATCCAACAGAATTAGGCTTACCACAATCTGGACATAAAACACGTTTTTTTGCTCTCCAGTGTTTGTAGCATCCTTCAGGACGTCGGCACCCACGACCACAAATTTTTCCAGAGTTATGTATATATTTACATATATATTTACCCTGCTTTTCAATATATTTATCTTGCTTTTTGATATATTTACTAAATATTTTGATAAATTTATATAACTGAATTAATTATTTTAATTTAAACAAAAGATCTAGTTATTAATAAAAAACACTGAATATCTATCGCTATGGTTAAGATACTTAAATGCTCAGGTTGTGATCAAGAAATAAGAACTGATAAAACCCGAGATCTTAATAAACACATGAATTTAAATGAAAACCTTCGAAAGGGTCAATGTCAACCAGCATTGCGATTAATGCAAAACCCAGTTCCAGTAGGAAACCCACCCATTCAAAATTCAGCATCAGCTCCAGAGAATGATCTTATATCATTTGATGAAAGCTAACTGATGCATCAGCCAGCCCAGCTAAGAGAAGAAAATGTGTCGGCTGTTGACCCAGGGATAGAATCTACCACAAAACAAAATAAAACTATTTTAATTTATAAAAATATAGCAAATGGTATAGAATTTTATGATAGAAAAAGAAAATGGTATGGAGTCAAAGATGAATTCCATGCATTATATAATAAATATTATTTTATTAAAGCAGATAATAATGAAACAAGTATAAAAGCATACATAAGAATTAGCGATGAGTCTGAAGCTATTTCAAAAAAAACTAAAGGTAATATTGATATGCGTAAAACGGGGAATTATACATTAACATCTATAAAACTTTTCAATGAAACTACTTTAGCACCCAGAAAAAGTGAGAAAATAAGTGAACAGGAGAAGGCTTGGATAGATTTAGCGTCAACAGGTGCTCTAATATTTGCAGAAAAATATGAAGGAGAAGCTATTCAATATGATGTAAATTCGATGTATATATATGAAATGTTAAAGAAAGAAGCATCATAGCCTGTTGCAACAGGTAAGTTTCATACTATAGATGTATCTTTAGTAGAAAAATGGACTAAATTTCCATATGGAATTTATAAAGCAACAATAGAAGGAAATCCGTCAAAGAAAAGTCTTCAATGTACAAGATATTTGCGATATAACCCACATGGGATTTACACGCATTATGATTTAGAGAGTGCTAAAAGAAATGGCTTAAAAGTATATTTGATAAATGAATCACCAAATGTACTTATTTATGAAAGAAATGTACGTATAACAGGAAAAGACATGTTTGGAAAATGGGGTAATATACTATACAATATTAAGAAAGAAGGCGGAACAGCAGGAAAAGTAAGTAAAGCATTATTAGTTTCATTATGGGGAGCATTATGCGAACAAAGAAATGGTCAAAATTATGGAGCTTATTCAAGAATTAAACCATTTCTATTAGTATCAGCCAGAAAAAAAATATCAGAAATTGTGAGACCATTAGGTGATCAAGTAAAGTGCATTCATACGGACGGATTTATAGTAGCAGGACAAGTAAATCTCAAAACAGGTATAGAAATGGGTGAGCTAAAATTCGAGAAAAGAGGAGTTTGCATTATAAAAAATTGTATATCTGTTACATGGAAACCACCTTACCCAGAAATTTTAAATTTGATTACAAATAGTTTACCGGATTTTGAAAAAATACAAGATAAAGAGCAGAATACAAAGTTAGATACAGAGTATCCTGCTTCACAAACAGTAAAAAAAAAACGATCAAAAAGATCTGATATAAATCTTCCAAATGAAATTATAATAGAAATATTTCAATATTTACGAACACAAAATGATATATTATATACTATTAATGAATTATTATCATCAGTTTTATATGTTAATAAATGATGGAATGAATATACAACATATTTAATATGGAGAAGAATTATATTATATAGATACAATATTACGAAATTTGTAAAATTAGTAAAAAAGAAACCATTACCAAATGTAATAAAATATATAAAACAGCTAGAATTCAAAAGAATAGATAGTCATTTTATTTCAGATAAATTTTATTTAGAAGAAATTATAGATATATGCCAGAATATAATAACAATATCATTTAAAGATTGTGATTGTGATTTTTTAATAATAGTTCGCTAAATATGGTATCAGATACATGCAAAAATCTAAAGCATATAATTATTTACGGAAATAATCGTATAGTGCCAAAAACTGTTTTAAATATATCAGAAAAATATACAAGTATAAAAACTATAAAAATACAAAATTGTAACGAATAACGGATAAAATAATAAAACAATTAGTGAGCAAATATCTGAAAATTGAAATTAATAATTAACTCGTAAATCTCATTTAGGAGATATTTATCTTTTTTTTTCTTATGAAAAGGTTGGATAATAAAATGCATATTAAATAAAACTTATATTATATAAAACGAAATACAAAGTATGACTGACAATAGTTCAAGTTTAATAAATGAGCGGGACTCAAAGTTATCAATGCATGATATTACATGGAAAATAATTGAATCAGCACAAATTAAAATAATAAAAGAAGCATTTCGTTTTCGATATAGAAAAGATAGTAAGCTTATTAGTAAATATGCTGGATATGTAAAAAATTTATGTAATGCAGAAAATCAAGATGAATATATAAAATATACAGCAATAACACTATTTCCAAATGATGAAGCATATAATAAAAAAATGACATGATATAGAAAATAGTATCAAGGTAAAAAGGAGCTACTTACTAGTGTAGAAGATTTATATAATCTTTATTATGAACTATCCAAAAAAGAACGACCTATGACTGAAACAGAAATTGAGGAAGCTGTTAAGGATGTGCTTTTAGATAAGTAGAGCGGAGCTCATTCTTTCAGAATAATTTAATACTATTTAAGGATCCATTTCGGTGGATATTCAATATTTTTAACTACCATCAGTTGTTCTCTCACAAATGATCATTCAGGTCCATTACTATTTTCATCCATAAGCCAGTATAATATCAGTTGATTTTTTTGTATTAGTGATTTTTTAATACAAAAAATTTTTGGAGACCAATTCATGTCAGTTATTCGTCTTTTGCCAAATTCTAATTCACCGGGTTCGAGTAAATATAAAACAGAATCTTTATAGGTTAATCGAGATTCATTAAACCCAATAGGCCTTCGATGTTTAACAGCAGGATCTGCGATAATTTTTTCACCTTTTAATACTCTCTTCACAGCTTCATTAGGAGTCATATGAATTAATCGAGTAGAAGTATCATTATAAATGTCATCATTAATATGAAGACCTTTAACCCATGCTCTAGATCTATCAGATATAGGTAAATGAAAATCTATAGCATCTTGACAAATGAAAGCATGTTTTTCAAATTCTTGATGATCATGCTCTGCTATAGCATTGCTTTTTTTGAATTTTTTGAGATCGAAATATACACCATGCCTTAATAATAAATCTTTACACTCAGCTAAATACTCAGTACCTTTATCTGTTCTAAAAACATTAGGCCAAGAAAGAGAATTATTAGAATCTTCATAAAATTTTTTAATTGCTTTAGCAACTGTAGAAGCCGATTTATTAGTTAATGCACAACTTTTACGATATCTAGTTGCCACGTCTTTTATTACAAGTCTATATTTAAAAACTCGATTATCAATTTTATCATGAGGCATAGGAGTAAGATCAGATTGATGCATTTCATTTAAATTTTGAATTCCATTAAAAGATGCATACTGAATAAAACATGGTCGAGGTTTATGAATTAAGTGTAATATTTGTCTATCAAGCCATTCCTGAACTTCATCAAAAGTAAAATCAAAACTGGCATTATGTGCAACTTCATAAAGTTTTTTACTAGTTCTTTGATAACCGGAAGGATGGTAATAGATTTTTTGTAAATCAATAGATATATCAAATTTTCAAGCTTCATTGAGATCTATAACAATACTAGAGTTACTCATTTTGGTGAAATCAGTGATAAAATACAGATATGGCACATATAGATTCTTTTATAAATATTAATAGGGAACTTACTTGACTTGAAAATCATTTTAGAGGACATGGTACACCATTAAACAATCCTGTTAATATTATTCAAGGTATGTATGATACTTTAAATATTATTTAAGCCAATTATCAAAGACTAGATCAGGATTTAGATGATATTACAAATCAATGAGATAATAGAGATGCTCAAATAATACAATTACAGCATGATGTTAATGGTTATAGACAGCAAAATATCGCTTTACAAAATCATATCAACCAACTTACACAGAATGGTATAACTTTGCAAAACCGTAATCGACAGCTTATACAAGAAGGTGATACTTTGCAGGAGATAGAAATATCTCATAATTTTGGAAGTTAAATGCAATCTTTATTAAAACTCGAAAAGACAAACATATCAGTACAATATTACATGAACAGTTTGCAACACAGCTCTTGAATAGACGAGCAATTCAGCAATTGGAATGGCAGTTGCAACAATGTCATAATCATGGAACAATATTAGAGTATTGGCGAGATCAACTTATAGTGAGATATGAAAAATGGAAAAATAAAACCCATGATGCCTGACAAATAATTATTAATTTATGTCAACAAATTTTTATATTACAAAATAACCCATTACCAAATCCAATTAATATGGCCGCTATACAAGATGTTATGCATACAATTTCACCACGACTTGCTATATTATCAGATTATAATGGACAAGAACCACTGCATACTTATTATGCAAAACTTAGAGCTATAAATAAAACAGCTAGACCTTTAGGTGTTGCAGCTTTTAATGCTGCAGAAAGAGCGAATGTCATGAAAAGTAAAATGACGGGTAAATTTTTTCCAGTTTCAGCACAAAACCCATATAATACTAATGCAAATATTGTTACTAAAGCAGAAGTCTATAACTGGATACAGGGTAAATATCGAGAAACAATGATTGGAAATCAACAAGCATCTTTAAAAGCACTTATGAATGAAAAATTCACTTCATTAGATACAATTGATACTTATGAAAAAAGAATTAGACCTTATGTATTAGGTAT